AATAGTAACTTTTCTTTGAATAAATGAAAATTGGAAGAGAAAATTGCTTAAAAATTTGTATTTGTTGTGTTTTAAAATTTTTTTAACTTTTCATGTTAAGAGACAAATGCTAAATATGATTCAAATGGGGAAATACGAAATATAATATGTTTTTTAACACGCGTTATGATATTTTGATAATTTAAATTACCATTTTTCCTGAATTATTGCCATTAATTAATGTGTTAATTATTGCTTTATAAAATAATAATTTGTCCGTATTTTTGTTAAATATTAGTTGTATAAAACGGGTGAAAATATAAAAACTTCATGTTTTTTATTTGATGGTTATAAAATATTCAACAGTAAACTTATAATCAAAATTTATAATGCCGACTTGTGTTGCTATTAATTGTACATTTAATGCAAAACCAGGATCTCACATATCTTTTCATGAATTTTCATATTGATACTACTGTCAACTGTATTGTTTATTATTTTCTTGTACTTTTTTTTCATAACCTTAACAGGTTCTAATTGGTATGGAGTTGCCGACATTTTAAAAGTTTCATTATCAAAAATCAAACGTAAAATAAAATGATATTTCTATTTTATCCGTATCCGATTCAGCAAATTTAGCAATTTAAAATAAATCAGCGTAATCAAAAAAGTTTTTATAATAAAAAAAGTTAACAGTTCATCAAATATAAATTAATACTTCAGTTTATGAAATTAATTGTTAATAAATACTTTTTTTCCACAGGAAAACAAAAAATATCATAGCGTAAAAATAACCAGAGAAGTTAGAAAAAAGTTCCCATTGTTTAAGTAAAAATAAGTAAGATTTAGAATATATAATACTGCGCTCTCTTGTACAAAAACGAGAGACCGTATACATAACGTTCTATATAATGTAAAACACTCGTGTAAAAATCATAAGATCCGTAAGTAAAGCTTTAATATTTATTTCAATTTAAAAACAAAAGAATTATAAGTAAGATATATAATCTAAAATTATTAAGATATCGATATAAAAAGATCCTCCTATGAAATAAAAAGCTTTTATTATTTTTGATTTTTACAAAAATTTGTTGTAAAAATTGTTTTGCTGTATGTTAAAAAAATACTACATCGTACTTTTTGAATTAAAGTAGAAAAATGCAGCTTTGTTCAATTACATTTTTCTTTTGTTAAAAACCTACCGTGACGTCAAATGCTAAAGCATTTGACGTCGCGGATATGAATCAAACGCGCTTTAAAAGAATCGCCAAAGTCTGTAGATTGCGACGTATAATTTAAAGACTCCGAGTTATTGAAAAAAATGGAGAAGGTGAGCTTCGGCTAAAACAACAAGATTTGTTTTTCTCGGTATTCATTCATTATAAATTTTTAATCAAAAAAACTTGGTTCAAACCTTTTTTTTTTAACATTATCTTTAATATGAACACAACATGTGTTGGGATTTTGGGATCCCTTTAACAAGTACCATTTTGCAGCGGACAAAACAAGTGCAACTTTTTTGGTTTGTTTCATTTTCTTAAGTCTGGTCCGTGTCAGTGTCACAGAAGTTTTTTAATAATTAAAAGAAGTATCCAAAACTTTCCAGAAGTTTCCAGAAGCATGCAGAAGTTTCCAGAAGTTTCCAGAAGAAGCATCTGGAAGCATCCAGAAGTATCCAGAAACATTCAGAAGCATCCAGACGCATCCAGAAGCTTACAGAGGCATCGAAAAGAAGCATCTAGAATCTTCCGGAACAGGTTCATTTTACTATATAAGAGACATGTTAACCGACATGTAATTCAGTTAGTATATGGAAGTCAATCAGTCAGTATTATCAAGAAGTTTATCGAAGTGAGTTTTATCAAAGTGTTTTATCGAAGAACATCAATACAAGAAGTGAAATACAGCAAGTGTTTCATTACATCAATACAGTCCACATCCAACCAAGTCGCTGTGTTCCACAGAGCATTATTGTATCATCACAAGGTAAATGTAATACGGTAAGCCTTGAGAATCGTGATTATTTTTATTATTTTTATGACTTCAAGTGCAAAAATGGCTCCCAAATGGCAGACAATCTTGGATTGGAATTAAGAAAAAAATTATTGGCGATTACGTAAGTGGAATGTCATAAAAAGGTATTTGTGATAAATATCGCGTGAAAAAAAGGCCATATCAAGACTATGGTCAAAATATCGTTCTACGGGGAAGTTGGCAGCAGATAACAAAGGTGGAAAATCGCATTCCGCCACTTCTAAAGAGGATTCTATGACTATCAGATCCGTCAAAAAGGATCCCTGGATATTGAACAATCAGACGACGTGCTGTTGAAGCCGGATTGTTTTCTCCACGCCCTGCAAAGAAACCGTTGATTTCACTGAAGAACCAGAAGAAAAGATTCCTGTTTGCTACATCTCATATTGACTGGAATGTGCAGAAATGGCAAACTGTCCTGTTCAGTAATGAATCGAAGTTCAACATCATTAGGAGCGATGACATTTGCTGTGTACGTCAACTGGCTGGAAAACGCATTGATTTACGTCAATGGAGGCAAAAACACCCCCAGACCATGTAATGGTCTGGGGGTGTTTTTCTGCAAACAGTCTAGGTCCAATACATCGAATCAATGGAATAATGGACCGTTTCATATATAAAAATATCCTTAAAGATGTTATGTTACCTCATGCTGAATGGAATATGCCAATAAAATGAATTTTTCAGCAAGACAACAATCCGAAACACACTGCAAAAGTAGTCAAGAAGTGGTTTCAAGACAATGACCTATCGGTGATGGATTTGCCGCCTCAATCTCCGGATCTCAACCCTATTGAGAACCTGTGGGAGATGGTCAACCGCAGAATTAATTGTGAAGGTGTTGGTAATAAGGATCAACTGTTTGAACAAATTCAAAAGGCCTGGGGAGCGATTCCACAAAGTTTCATTGATCACCTGATCGAATCTATGCCTCAAAGATACAAGGCTGTGATCAACAAACAAAGAATTCGCCACAAAATATTGATAGAGAAATACAGTTTAGTCAATATTTTGTGGAGTTGCATTTGTTTTGTCCAGAAGGAAATCAAATTTTTTTAATACTTTTGATTAATTTATAATTATTCGTGTACAAATAATTAACTTTGTGATAAATAAAACTTAAAAAACAGTTACATAGTTATTTCTCTAAATTGAAAAAATGCAGCACTTTTATATAAAGAAACTAAATTAGCATTATTTGGTTGCACTTGTTTTGTCCGATACTGTAATTATATGAGCTGAATTAACATAAAAATTATTAAAACCTGTTTCAGGAATATTACATTATGAGCATATTAAATTATAATATTTGCTAATATGTTGTTTAGCTAAAAGTAATTCCTTTTTTCAAGATTAAAATAGTTGTTTCATCACTAAATCAGCGCTTCGAGTTATGGTTGGCATTCACCAATGTCAACCTAACTGCCCACCTAAAAGTTGTTAAATTTTATGGTAACCTCTTTGTGTCAATTTTTTTTTGCCAATCTGATGGCAACCCCTAACAGCATGAGGTTGGCAATTTATAACCAATTTATAAATTATAATCTCATTTTTCCTAATTGTGAGGGTTATTAAATAGTGGCACATTAAAGGTAAGATTATCAAAATGATACTTATAGATGAGAAACAACACAAGACTAAGAATAAAAATTTGTGGTACCCCAGAAGTTATGGTTGTTATACTTAGAAGGGAATAACTCTTAAGGTTCTTAACTACTTAAGGTTGTTATACTTATGGTTAGAAGGGAATAACTCAAAAATTCAAAAACTTTGCTAGATAGTTTGAATCAATCTTATGGGGGAGACTAGCATGCCAGACCATTGTTCGGGGGGAGACCAACATGCCAGACCATTGTTCGGGGGGAGACCAGCATGCCAGACCATTGTTCTTGATATATTAAAGACTTTTATCTAAGTACAAAAGCACATAAAACCTTTCTGTTGTAATGGTTAATAAACAATCTATTGCTTCCATCTTATGCACCATAAAACAATTTTGTTGTAATGTTAATAACCAATCTATCGCTTTCATCTTATGCACCATAAAATCTTTCTGTTGTTAACAAGAAAGTAGTAAAACAAGAGGATCAAAGTTGTCTTATTGTTACACTAAAGAAAATCTGTCTTGAGAGTTGTTTCACTAAAGAGGAGAAGTTTGTTAGTTGAAAGTTCAAAAAGTTCATTCAATAATAGTAAGTAAGCTGAAAACTTTATTAATAATAGTAAGAAAAAAGTGCAAAAGGTTTTAGAAAACACTCTTGTGAGTCTGTAAAAAGTTTTAGGAAACACTCTTGTTACACTGTTTAAAATAGCTCTATGTATATTACAGGAAACATGGTGTAAGGTTGTTATTTTTGAGTATTCTAGCATATTTATTCAATAATAGTTATAAAAATATTAAGTTATTTATTTATTACTTAACTATGTTTATGCATTCATTGCTGTTAAATATAAAAAACTGACTCAAAATATTGATAGATAACACTATTATATCAATTTAATTTATATAATTGTTTTATATATCAGATTAGCATAATAGTATATCAGTATAATAACAATAATAATAACATAATGTTGGTGTAGTCATTACCACGTATTTCAAAAAATTGAGGTTTTCAGGAAATACAAAAATCTGAACTGGTGCTAGGACTCTAAACATGCAATTATGAAAATTTAAAGTTCAATACAACTCGGCATTACTATTTTTACCCTTCTTTATTTGAAATGAATATTACTAATTTTCAATTAAATTATAAAATTGAGATATAATCACTTGAGTTTTTGGTTATGCAACAAAAAAAAAATGCATTTCTATTGGTATTTACAGAGTTTCAACAGAAGATGCATATGGTAAATTACAATTCAAAAGCATTGAAACCCCAAAATTTTTTAAAATACTTGTTTATGACTTTTTACCAACGATAGTAGTAATAGTACTTAAAACAATAAAAGGACTAAAGCATGATCAGTATATTAATATGATTTAGACGTTTCCAATGCCTTTTGTGGGTCAAATATTTAAAGGTGAAATAACAAAACTTGGTGCATTAGATAAACAGCAACCTCCTTTTGATATTAAAAATCCGTATATGGCAAAAGTAGTTGTTAATAGAGAATTGCATAAAGGTGGAAATCGATCATGTATGCACATTGAATTTGATATAAATCAATCAGGTAATTATTTAAAAATTAATTTAGTACTTATATAAATAATTTTTTCTCTTTTAAAAATATGTTATAAACATTAATAAAAAAATACTTAAGTTATTTTGCTAGTATTTTTCATCCTCTATTTCTGAAAATTTTTTATTCATCCAATCTCTACGTCTACTAATCTTTTATTCGTGTATGAAATGTTGTCAAATTGTTGAAAATATAAATATTGGTAACACATTACCAAGAACCGTGTAGAATTATAACATAAACTATTGAAATATATTGGATCTAATGAGAGTCTGATTGTATGTGGAAATTTCAATAAGCATGTTGGTACAGCCACAAATGGTTTTGTGGGATTACATGGAAAAAGAAAAGAGGCTTGATCTAAGAAATATTGAAGGAGAATTGTTATAGAGTTAACAGTTAACAAAAAATTATTAACACTAAGAGTTTTTTCGCATTAGTTATTTGTAATATGAATTTGGTGGAGAATCTGAAGAAAGGTATGAGAGTATAAAATACTGAAAGTATGTGGAAAAACATAGAGAAAAACTTTCTTGAAGTATTTGGTATTGCAGAATAACAAAGGGTTCTCAAATACTCAAAGAGTTGCAGTTGAGGTACTGAAAAGTTAAAGCAAAAAAGTGGAAATTTTTTACAATATTTTGTTTAAGAATAAAGAAGTCAGACTTAAGAGAAATTATTTAAACAAGTATTGCTTGAAATAGTATTTTTTTGAAGATGTATTGCTTAGCTAAATGCAAAACAAAACAATGCTCAATTATGCAAGCATAAGTTTTTGAGAGATGCTAGATGTAGAGGGCAAAGAAAATGCGATTTCCAGATTTGTAAAACAAATGATTAGAAAAAACTTTAGAAAAGTTTTGTTTACTATATTACTACATTTATGTCAGGGAAAAATAAAATTTGATAAAATACTTATTGTAATACAAAAGAAATAAAATGTCACAATATATTTCTTTTATATTTTATGTATTTTTTTTTTAAATGTATTTTTTTTTTAAACGAAACACAAACAACTAGGGATATAGCGGAATTGGTTTTTTCAAATACCAGCCAGAACCGGAATTGTTATATAATTTGCGACCGAAATTTCTGCTCGAACCAGAATTATATTTATATTATTTTCTGCCTTAAAGATTTAAAAATATCCAAGGTTTTATGCTTACATAAGATTTGATTAAACCTTTACCGTATAAATACATTACTATTTTATCCCAGGTATATAATCCTTATATCGTTCTATAGTGCTACATAGTGCTAATTCCTTGCCAACCAATAAAAATTGTCAGCAATTTACATAAGCTTCATGTGCATCAAATTTAAAAATAACAATTGCAAAAAGTTTTTTTCACTTGCTTTGAGTCAGCTGGAATACTCAAAAATAACAACCTTACACCATGGTTCTTGTAATATACATAGAGCTGTTTTAAACAGTGTAACAAGAGTGTTTCCTAAAACTTTTTACACAGACTCACAAGAGTGTTTTCTAAAAGATAAAATAGAATGTAACCATAAAAAAAAAGCAAAAAAGCTAAATGGAGTAGCAAAAGAATAAAGAAAAACAGGTTGTTTTATGGCTGGGAAAGGAAAAAGTAAAAATGAAGAAGCAATGTTATAATGTAAATAAAAATGAAGAAGCAAGAAAACTATTTTCTGCCCTTGTTTTGTCTGTCTATTCAGAGATACTATTTATAGAAGCAGGTAACATTTTTAATGAAAAAAGAGCTAGGTTGTTGCCTAAAACTGGAGAGCAACTCTTGTTTTTATGCCATAATACTCCTAAATTTCCAGAAATCCTCACCTAGAATACAAAATTCTCTTATTTATGTCATATATAAATTTTTTAAATTATATATTCATTTTTTTGTGAGTCTAGTTAAATACCGTACATATTATATTTCAAAATTATACAAGTTTTAGTTAAACAGTATACAAGTTTTAGTTAAACAGTAATAGTATAAAGTTTTTAATTTTATTAGTTACTGTCAACTGGGGTTACTTTGATAGGTTTTTGTGCTTTTTTTAAAAGTGCTGATAGAATTTTAATGAATTGCTGTTGTTTTTGGTTTGAATATACCAAATGATCTATCCTTAACAGGAAAAAATGCTTTTTAGAAATATCAGAATTTGTCTTGTATTTGTTTTTAAGGCCCAAACAGTTATCAATGTAACCTCGCATGTCAGGGTTACTTTGATAGTAAATGCTATTTCAATCAAATATCAAGTTAACTCATCACAGGGTTTCATTGATAGTTTTTTAGGCTTATAAAAAAGATTTATAGACCTAGTACACCTAATACTATCCAAAAAATTACAAAGTTGGTTGAAAAAATGTCAAAAAATATCGAACTATATCAAACTATATCAAACTCAAAATTATAAATTATCAAAAGTTTTTGATTTTAGTTGATGATTTGGTGAGACAGGTATGGGAACCGATATTGATCCCTTGTTTTTCTCGGTTGATCTAAAATTCTTTCAACCACAGCAGAATATTCTTCACCCATATCATCTTTATTTTCCGTAAATTTGAAGAATTTACTCGCCGGTTGTTTTTTCAAAAATTTAATATGAAGCAGTTTTATTCTCTCAAACACTTCAACAACTTAACCAATGTAATTGACAAAAGATTTTTTCCTGGTGTAGGCTACAACTACCTATTGCTTTGGTTCAAATGGAATGTCAGTTGTTTTATCAGCTGATTCCAAAGAGTCTTCACTGTCATCTTGAAGTTCCATTTCAATTTCAGAATCATTATCTAAAGATGTTGAAGACTGGATTTTTTTATTTAATCGTTTTTTTTTGACAACCAATTTTGTACCAGTACCGCTACACTGTGTTCGCTTTTTTGTTTCTTTGATCACACTGAGATCATTTGATGTTATTTATTTACCAGGAATTATTTTTTTCCTCTCTTCTGTGTTTGTATGTCCGGTTTATTCAATCCACAATGATCTTTTAGCATTTCCTGAACAACCGTGCCAAAGATTTCTTTAACCTTTTCACCACCAACATTTCGGTTCTCATTTGGCAGTCTTTTCAAGACTTCATCTCTGTTTAGTGGAGATATTCCGCAAGCCGAAAAGCCAGAAATCAGGTTTTGTTCTTTTAGTCTGCGATGCAACTTCAACAATAACCCAGGAAAATGTGTCTTTGGTATTGTACCTTTGATGCAACTTTCTGAGATTTTGAGACTTATATACTACCATAGGTGGTAGGAACACTCCAATAGCATTTCCACAATACATGATGCTTACACAACTCTTTGAGTGTTGCATTTTGCGTTCGACTTTTTTAAGTCCTCGTCTGCATATGATCAATTTTGCGCCAGGGTCATCCGAAAGGTTAGTCTCGTCATAGTTATAAATGTTACAGGGTTCAACGCCTTTTAATGTCTTCGCTAATTCATCGAAGTAACCGTTCACAGTTTGTCCACAAACCTCTGCGCGTGAAGGTTTTACATTGTCAGCAATGCGTGTTGTCAGCTTATGGCGTTTGATAAAACTTAGCATCCAATCAATCCCTGGTAAATTGTTGTTAAACAATTATTGTTTATTTTTAACACCGGAGTGATCAAGATAATGTTTGACCATTAAACGAATATCTAATCCATCAACAGGCATTTTCCAATCACAAAGAACGTTTATTACCTTCAAAAGGTGGCTCTCGCAATTTAAAGAAAGTGCAACTGGATCTCCAACTTTTTTTCCGAGTATACCGTTCATTCTGTTGTGCAATGTCCCGTATGGAATTTAAAATTTTTTAGATGCTTTTAGCAAACTCATAGTACCCTTCCGGCAACATTGAAGGGCTGCTGACAACTGAGTTTCTGAATGTGAACAATAAGCACGACTCCCGTCCTTCCTCTTGTAAATTCTCATATTGCGGATAGGTAGGTATTTTCCTATAGGCATATAAAAAAACATGTTTTTATAGTTTTTTATTACTGTTTAGAATACGTATTTTACACTCTTTTACAAAAATGTTACCAAAAACTTTGTAAATTTTATTTTATTTTTAACAATTTTACTATGTTTTTTACCTTTCAAATCAATTTAATGAAATCTTTGTAAACTTTTGATTAGTTTTTATTTATTTTTAACCTGAAAATATAAAAGAGTAAAATAGTATTAAAAATATACTACGATAATATACTGAAAAAGTAGTTCTAAAATAATTATCAATGTTACCCCGGGTATCAAAGTAACCCCAGTTGACGGTACATAGTTAAGGTATTTATGTCAAAATGAATTTGTTTTATTACTATTACATATTAACAAAATTTTGTTTTGTTATTATTACGTATTAACAAAATTTTGTTTTATTATTATTACATATTAACAAAATTTTGTTTTATTATTATTACATGTTAACAAAGTTTTGAGATGTTATGGAGTAAATCAATTGATTATTGCAAACAAAGTTGTATTGTGTTTATTTAGAACTTTGTACTTTTTACCTAGGTCCAGGATTGTTTGGTTCAAACCAATGATTTAAACCACAGATTAAACCATTTAAAAAAATACTGGTTTAAACAAAATTAAGAATAATTTCTAAAAAGAGAAAATAAGAGTGTAAAAGGTGTAGATAAGTATGTTTAAAAAGAGAAGTAAAATAAGAGTGTAAAAGATATGCTAACAAACAATGCATTCCCAAGAATTTTTCTTCTTAAGAAAGTTGTTTTCAAACAAACCCAAGAATTTTTTAAAATCAATACGGGCGTTTATTTTCCAAATGAATGTCTGCATTTCAAGAGCTTTGTTTCCACTTCAAATGAAATTGATACAGTTGTAACCAAAAAATCTTGATTTCCATTTGATTATTTGACCAAAAAAACTTGAGTTTTCATTCTCTAAATGTCGAAGTTGTTCTAAGATTGATTCTTTTTGCTGCTGTTTTGAATTGTACAGGAAAAAAGTCTTTTTCAAGAGTGAAGAAACTTCAATACATGATTTTATCCTACTTAACCATTTTAAATATATGTTCAATACAAAGATCTAATTGTCCTTTGCTGATTCTTTGAATTAACTTCTTATAGTTATCTATTACATTTACATATTGGTTTTTGGTCTAATTCAGTAATATTTAATAAGTCATATAAAAAAATTGTGTTAACATAAAAATTTTTTTTAGAAGATTACAACGATTTAATATCTGATAAAAGTTTATTTTCTACTTGTCTAGTACCACAGCTAACACATGGTATGAAGACGATTTTGTCACAACTACAAATTCAATATATTTTTGAAAACTCTTTGGTTTTAAGAAAAGAAAAAGAATACTTTAAAAAGCAAATTGGTTTGCTTGAGGAGAGTGTGGTGCTTGTTAATTTAGATATAAGGCAACCAGATGGTGACAACAAATCAGTTCAAATTTGCAATATTTGCAAATGTACTTCTAAATCAATTAACAACTTTGATGGAGCTCTTGTCTGTCCATATTTATATTTGATGTTTTGAATGTATTCTACATATAAGTTATAAACTTGATTTTTAAGAATGGCAAACACGTGGAAGCGTTCAAAGAATTTTTAAAGTTAACTATATTATAAATTTTTGTTTCTTCATAACATTAAAAGGTAGAAATATCGATAGTTTTTCTATATATATATGTATAACCTTTTCACCACCAACATCTCGGTTCTCATTTGGCAGTCTTTTCAAGAATATATATATATATATATATATATATATATATATATATATATATATATATATATATATATATATATATATATATATATGCATTATATACATATATACATATATACATATATATATATATATATATATATATATATATATATATATATATATATATATATATATATATATATATATATATATATATATATATATATATATATATATATATATATATATATATATATACATACATATATATATATATATATATATATATATATATTAATATATATATATATATATATATATATATATATATATATATTAATATATATATATATATATATATATATATATATATATATATATATATATATATATATATATATATATATATATATATATATATATATATTAATATATATATATATATATATACATACAAGATAAATGTATATATATATATATATATATATATACATATATATATATATATATATATATATATATATACACAATTTATATATACACACAATATATATATATATATATATATATATATATATATATATATATATATATATATATATATATATATATATATATATATATATATATATATATATATATATATATATATAATTTTTCTTCTGCCTACTAAAAACATTGAAGTAAGGAATAAGTATAGAAATGGTTGAGTTGAACTAAAATCCATATTTAGCGGGTCCGGACAGCTAATATTTACTAATTTAGAGTTATTTTATTGTTATTTTTTATGTTGTGTTTTTTGAAATGACTAATAATGAATTTCTAGATTTGAATTGAACTAACAAACGTCTAGATTTTAGTAGCATTTTCCGGATTTTCCACAAGGTGTTTTATATTCCTATTTTCCAAATATTAATATTTTTTTTAAAATTCGGCAAAAATATTACTACATAAAATAAAATCCTTGAGAAATATAATAAGTTCCTTGCTAAAAAAACGTTCTTTAAGAACGAAACAAATCTATAGCTAAACGAAGATGCAAAAGATAAGGTTCTAACAATTAAAGTACGTCGACTAGTATTGGAGGAGGGAGTTACCCAAGAACGTATAAGACGAGCTGTTAAAGACAGAGTATATATGCGGTTTAATTATATCTCGTTCTCTATTTTTCAATTAAAGTACGTCTGCTAGTATTGAAGGAGGGAGTTACCCAAGAACATATAAGTGGAGCTGTTAAAGACAGAGTATATATGCGGTTTGATTATATCTCGTTCTCTATTTTTCCTAAAAGTGGATTTCGTTGTTTTAAATAAAAGCAGCGAATTTTACGAGTTAAAATAATCATTATTGTTTTATATAGAAAAAATATGTCGAATTAACTAAAAGATTTTTTGTTATTTTGAAAAATTTATGCGTTAGTGAAAGGCGAGTTAATTTTGTAATAAATAATAGTTATGTACGAAGGATGTGGAAGGGGGTTGTTGAAAGCAGGTGCGTACGACAGGGGAGGGGCTCTAAATCAGAGGTTTCACTGGGTACCCAGTAAAACCACTGATTTAGAGCCATAAAGTTATGGATGAACCCTAGTAGAGATTGTTTAAAAATATGATACTTATACCTATTAACGAGATGTAAAACGATTACTTTACCTAGATCGTGTAAAACACGATACTTTACTTAATTATTTCTATTGCGATACTTTACCTAATTATTTCTATTGCGATTACTGAACGATAGTTTGAACAGTTGTTAAAAGCTTATGCAGTCAAATTGTAAAAGAGTAATGCACTTCGATTACAGTTTTTAAGCTTACAAACTCCATTTTAAAGTTTTTCTTTTTAAACGCTTAGGGGCAATTTTGACTTGCTGCTGGAAAATTTATACTACTTAGACTGTACCACGAATTTAAACGAATTTCGGCTTTATTTTCTATGTTACCTTCTTGATATAAATTAAAATCAGGCGTATTAATATATAACGCGCGTTGCGTCATGTTTGTTTACGAAGCCGCTTACGACTATAGTAGGTAAATAAGATAACATGTAATAATAAATAATTTATTTATGGCATATATAAGTAATAAAAAAATGTAGTGAAAATTTTGTTAGCTAATTTTGACCAAGATCGCTGTCTATCGTTTCAAATATCGCTGAAATTTGGACTTAATAATGCTTAATCAAATTAAATCTAAATAAATTTGCTAATTTATTTCGCACACTAGTCTTGTTTTTCAGAGTTTATATTTTGGATTTATCGAAAGATATAATTTTTTTTTTTCTCACAAAAAACATTAAGTAATGTAATCATGTAAATAAATTAAGATTTCTAATGAAATCTTGTGGAATTCTAAAGAAATTGATTAATTCGAATCATTAAAAATTTTACTGCATGAGATTATGTCTAGAAAAATTTCTTGACGGAAAAATCTTCTAAGTTACCAATAATACACAGTTAACACTATTTATCCCACAATATTTATCCCACAATATTCATCCCACAATATTTATCCCACAATTTTTTCGCACAATTTATCCCATAATATTTTTCGCACAGTCTTGCAATTAATGTTTATAAATATTGATAGTTTTTTTTACTTAGTGTTTTTTTATAGGAATCAGGTATGAAGCTGGCGATCATGTTGCTGTTTATCCTACAAATGATACAGAACTTGTTGAAAAACTTGGTGACTTACTCGGTGTTAATTTAGATGATATCTTTTCATTAAACAATATAGATTTAGAAGCTTCTAAAAAACATCCATTTCCTTGTCCAACATCTATTAGAAATGCACTTCTTTATTATGTTGACATAACAAGCATAGTTAAACTTCATGTTCTTCAGGAATTTATTCAATACACTACAGCAGAAACTGATTTAGCTATTCTAAAAAAGTTATGCGATTCTAGTCCAGATGGAAAACATTTTTACAATGAATGGATTGTAAACAGTTATCGTAATATTATAAGTGTTTTAGAAGACTTGCCATCGTGCAAACCTCCTTTTGATTTAGTATTAGAAATGTTACCACGTTTACAGTGTCGTTACTATTCAATTTCATCATCTCCTAAGTTATCAAAAAATCGTATTCATATAACTGCCGTAGTTGTAGACTGGATTACACCAACTGGCCGTCGACAGAAGGGTGTGGCAACTAATTGGTTGAAATCAATCAGCCCGGAACTTAATCTTAAAGTTCCGTTATTTGTTCGTCAAACTACTTTCCGACTTCCGTCCAAGTGCCGCACCCCTATAATGATGGTTGGCCCTGGAACAGGATTAGCTCCATTTCGTGGTTTTATCCAAGAGAGACAAATGATGTTAGAAAGTGGAATGTCCCTTGGTTTGGCTTTCTTATATTTTGGTTGCAGAAAAGAATCCGAAGACTATATTTATGCCGAAGAATTGTCTAGTTATGTCCAAAGCGGTGCTATAACAAAATTATCAGTTGCATTTTCCAGAGATCAAGCTGAAAAGGTTTACGTAACACATAAAATAAAAGAAAATCTTGGATCGGTTTGGCAGCTTATTAAAGACGGTGGGCATATTTACGTATGTGGTGATGCAAAAATAGCAAAAGAAATGCAAAATCTTATAATTGAAGCAATTATACAAGGGGGTAAATCAAACGAACTAGCTAAATCTTTAATGCATAATCTTAGTAATACTGGACGTTATTCTGTTGATGTTTGGTAAGAAATAAATAAGATTTCAGAATTATTGGCGATATAGGTTTTTTAATGTTTTTGTTTTTTTTTTTGTTATTTTGATAAAAACTTTTATCTTGAAGGTTTAATCAATTTCTAAATTAAAAGGCTAGTTACAAAAATTTTCACTTTGATTATATTGTTTTTTGACTTCAAGATCTTTTTGAATTTTATATATAAATTTATAAATACGCGTACACACGCGCACACACATATATCTAATACCATGAAAAGTTTTCAAAATATAAATTTTTCGTTTTTTTGTACTTTTGGTATGTTGCAGCCGGATTTTGAAAAAATAAAGCATATCAGTTTTAGATTATATGAACCCATGCAGACTTTTAAAATGATATAAAGTATTTTGGAAGTTTTTATATTAAAACAAATCTTCTGAAATTTTTTGTTGTATTTTTGTAGATTCTGTGGGTTTATTCAAAAAAATGTTAATTAAACCTGAGTTTTATATCACGTTTTTTTACGACTGAAAAAAATGCTTTTTCAGTACGAGAAGTTGCTTAAAATTAAAAAATAAGACAATATCTTAGAAAAAACGAATTTTAAGCGAATTCTTTTAGAATCTTTTTCTATATTTTTAAATATTTCTGCGAATTTATAAAAAAAAGTTAAGAAAAGTAGTTGAGCCTAAATTTTTTACAACAAAAAGGCGGTGAGATCTATTGCAAGGACGCCCCTGACGAGTGGCGTTATTGTAGGTTTCGGGCTCTCCGAAACGCCATTGATGATTGCAGTGCATTCTTGAGGAGGGGGATCACCATTTATCCACTACTTAATTTTAATTGGTTATTATGGCACCAACATTTTTTACCTCATATACCATGAATTTTTGCGCTTTGTGAGCTTTTTTTTATGAATTTGTTACATTAACGACATTTATATATTTTTATGTTACACAGGTGATTATCAGTTCTCAATTTATTATCTAGAGTGTAAAACATATATAGTACCACATTTATTAGACATTTGTATAGTGCGATTATTTTAGTTATGAATACCATTATTAAACCAGCGGATTTTTATTGACTTGTTTATTCATAGATCATTGTTTTATCATTTGCTAAAAGATGACTAGAGTGTGAGTTTTGGTTCCTCTTTTCCTGAGTTGCTAACTTTTACTCCTCCTACTAAATAGTCTTTACATTAATTTATGTTTTTTTACCTAAATGACATCATCTTCAATCTGTTTTTATTTTCACATCTTCTATGTCTAAGTAACTGGACGGCTCTGTTGGTCACTTTTTGCGATCATTGTGTCGCATGAACAAAAAATTTAATAAAAAAATCTAAGTGGAGCCTAAGTTTTTTACGATTTTTTCTAAACGAAAAGTTACTTGAAATCCTAAAATAAAAAAATCTTCAAAAAAAACAACATGTTTTAACTAACTTTTTTTTTGAAATATTTTAATATAGTTTTGTGAATTCTGTGTAACATCTTTCTCATCAATCATTATAGTTAATACAAGAAGGTAAAAATATCCACAAAAAGATTCTTTTATCAAAACCTCATTCCAAAGAAAATTTCGCAAAAATATTTTCAAAAGTATTGTTTGGAGGTAAAATTCGCAATGCATTAAAATTTATATCCGGTGATTGAAAAAGTGGTCTGTTTCTTATCAATGATACTGAGCTGAAAGATCTTACCCCGGAACAAATTGCAATTTTAGCAAAAAAACTTGCAACTTCAATTGTCGATCCATCCACCTTTAAGTCATTAACAGCTTGTCGCTTGATTCCTTTAAGCAAAGGTGGAGTTAGATCGATTGGTATTTAAAAATTTCTGAGACGAATAATTGGGAAAATGATAGGATGGGCTCTAAAGTCCGACATTTAAGAGGCTGCAGGGCAATTACAAGCATGCATCGGTCGAGAAGATGGAGCAGAAGCTGCAATACACGCAATGAAAGAATTCTTTTTATACGAAGATAATGAGGCAGTAATTCTTGTTGACGCAAAGAATAGTTTAACTCGCTAAACAGAAAAACCGCACAACATAATATCCAATACATATGCCTTCCAATTTCTAAAATTTTAATAAACACATATCCAACACGTATTCCTTCTATCGTATTCGCTTGATCATACTCGGCAGTAATGATACACTATTGACTGAAGGTAATATACAAGACAACAACCTTGCAATGTCATTTAACGCACTTAGACTAAACCAGTTAATAAACATTAAAAAAAAAGCAATCAGAACTTGTAAAATTAAAGTCATATATTACTGTCAAGAATATAACCAAACTTAACGAAGCTAAAGTTATATTTAAAACAACTAAAATCAATTTTACAACTAAAGGGAAAAGACATTTGGGAGCTGCAATTGAAAGTGAGAATGTTAAAGAGAAGTAAATCAAAGAAAATGCTTCTACATGGTGTAAAAAGATAAAACGCTGGTCAATATTTTGCGAAACACAACCGTATGCCACATATTCTGATTACATTCATGGTCAACAACATAAATTCAATTACTATTTGCGGACTTTGCAAGGAATTGAAATGTTTTTAAAACCTTTAAATGACATTATCGAGTCAAAACCTTTAACATCTATACTAAAAACTACTATAACACCTATTGTGAGGCAATTGTTTACTCTTCCTTTTTCGGATAGATATTCGAAGATGCATGTAAATAATTTAATGCATCAAATGGGCCCTTAATTGTATGTATGATTCTGCAAAACGCTGTTTTTCCTATATTAAAATTAAACATAAAAAAAAAACATACAGAAAAAAAACAACTTTTGAAAACTAAAGTTGAAAATGTATTGAATTTACTGTCAAAAACAACACTAAGATCAGTAGAACAAAAGATCACTAAAAGATCAAGAATTTGTATTAAATAAAGCTGAATTCCGCGATGCATTGTGTCTCAATAGAATCGAGATATTAGTGGATTACCATCATTACCATAGTAATGATGGTAATCCACTAATAACATATCATTACTGTTGCGTTAGTTCGCTAACGCAGCAGCCAGTATGCTTCTTTACTTTGTATATTTAACTAAACGCGAAGCAAGTCTCGCTGCCTTACAATTCTTTCTTCACCACGAGCTTAGCACTTGGCGCGATCCAAGTTTGTAATTGTAAATAACGAGACCTATCTTCAAGAAATATATATTAAAGTAATCTTATCTATGTGAATTAATGCTAGAGTCCCTTCCAAACTCTTTATGGAGCCCAAAATTTAAAAGATATTAGAAGATTCAACGAGCTAAGTCGTTTTTATTTTTATTCAACTTAATGTGGTAGTTGATTATTTTTTGAAATTTATGGTAAGATATTATATTTATTATTTAGGTGAAATTTGTCAACGTTTTTCTTGGAGAAAACACTCGTTTTAAGTACTACGATCAAGTATTACCAGCTAAGTAATTTTGTCATTTGTTATTTTATTATTTGCAATTATAGTTTATGTTAAGTGATTTAAGGTTTAAAAAAGTTTAAGTTAAGAGATCTTATGTTAAAAATTTAATTAAATTGTATTAAGGTTAAATTAGTCAAGAATTGCGATACCCTTTTGCGAAACTTCTTAAGTTTAAATTTATTTTATTGATTTTTTTCCGCTATTGACTGATAAGTTTCTTTTACACAAGCTATTACAAGCATAAAAAAAGTCCGTGAAAATTTTAACGTTAAAAGCGTTCTATTTATATAAAACATTCTAAAATTAATTACGTTTCCTTTTGTTGAGTTAAATACTTTTAAGTTAGGAATTCTACTTTAAATTTGACTTCAGATTTGTGAAATGTCTGTACTAACAACAAAAAGAAGAGTGCGAACTATGAATGTTAATACTATAAAATTTTTTTTGATCAGGCCAATGATTTAATGGAAGACGATAATCATAGTAAAAATTTATCAGAACTAATTAATTTAAGAGAGACGGCTAATGATAGATTTGAATGAATTAAAACTGTAGATGATGAAATTTCGGTTTTAATAGATGACGCGGAGGAGTTACAAATTAACGACGATTTAGCGATTGACTTTACATTAAGCTTCAAAAGAGAAAATTCTAAAATAAACAATTTTTTAAATAAATTTTCTATTAAATCTAATGATGATGCAAGTTCTACAGTAACATAAAAACTAATAAAATGGTTAAACTTCCCACCTTAAAAATGAAGCATTTGATGGCAATTAGGAAAATTGGCAATCCTTTTGGGAAAATTTCGACTTGGCGATGAATAAAAATGATGAATTAAGTAACATTCAAAATATGACATATCTAAAGAACTTAATTCACGGAAAAGCATATTCCGCAATTAATGATCTCTCACTTTCAAACGAAAATTATACTATTGCGCTGGATAATAAAACAACGATTTTCAAATAAACAATTGACTGTTTCCTTTTATATGAAGAAACTTTTAATTTTGATCGATTAAACAACATACTTTTGATCGATTAAACAACATAAAAAATGTTAATTCTTCAAGAAAACTTTTAGATACTATTGAGATTCAAATACGTAGTTTAGAGAATATTGGTATTGATTTTTCGATGTGTGGGTCTTTACTTGTCCCAATTATACTTGAAAAGCTTCCCGAGGAGCTAAATTTAGTTATAAGCCGTAAACTAAATGAAGATAAAGCTTGGGATATTAAAGATTTGTTCAATATACTAAAAGCTGAACCAAGAGCGCGTGAACACATCAATTTTTCTGATTTAAATACTTAACCCTTTACTGCTGGTACGTTTCATTCGAGTGACAATTCAAGTAATAAATATGATAAAAGAAATTTTAAATTTATACGAAATGATTCTTATTCACCCGTGTGTGTATTTTGTGAAAATAACCACAAATCCCATCAGTGTAAATTAGTAACTAACATTACGGCTAGAAAAAAGATATTAAGTGATAAAAAATGCTGTGTTCGTTGTCTTAGTAATAAAGTTTTTAGCAAAAAGTGTTCATCAAAATTTTAAATGTAATCTTTATCATCATGTATCAATTTGTGACAGTGACAACAGAGATAAGTAGAGATAATAAAAAAGACGGCGAGAGATAATAAAAAAGACGGCGAGTTGACTTCAGTCGCAAGTACATCATCTCTTTCTGCTTCTAAATCTGTTATTCAACCGACTAAAACCGTTTTATTACAAATAGCCCTTGCTACTGTTAAAAGACAAGATCATGCTAGATTTGCTACACGTCGAATATTATTTGACAATTGTTCGCAGTTAAGCTACATTACTCCTGAGACATGTGCCAAACTTAATCTAAAGCATATTGATAGTAAAGAAATTAACATTAAAACATTCGAGCACGGTAGCATTTCTGAGGTCTTGGATAAGGTCAGAGTTTCTATTAAAAGTATTTATGGTTATTTTATAAGCATTGAATGTTTTGTTAAAGATATATGTTCTCCTTTGAGTGGACAACATATTAATATAGCATGTAATAGTTATAAACATCTTTAATATAAAAATAGAATAGGGTTTTAGATTTGCCGATTATAATAATTCTCAAAAAAAATTTATCAGTTGATATTTTAATAGGTGCTAATTTTTATTGAAAGTTCATGGAAAATTCCATTATCAGAGAAGTTAATGGTCCCGTAGCGATTAAATCTAAATTAGGATATTTAATAAGCAGTCCCATGATAGTTAATAGAGATCAAATTGATAATTCGACTGTTTTGTCCTCTCATGTTTTAAAGGTCGCTTCAAATTTTAATAGTGAGCAAATTTTAATTAAGAATGATTTAAATTTATTATGGGATGATTCCAAAATTAGCGAGTGTGATAAGACTGTTTATGCCAAAAATTCAGAAAAATTTTAAATTTAATGGTACTATGTATGAGGTCGAATTGCCATTTAATCATCCGTTGATAGGTGATAATTATAATTTATGTAAGTCGAGATTTTTAGCATTAGAGAAAAAATTTGCAAACGATAGAGATTTATTTTCGTCTTACAATAATATTATTAAGGATCAATTATCCAAAGGCTTTATTGAAAAAGTCTCTAATTTTGAAGGTAATATTGGTGACGTTCACTATTTACCTCACCGTTCAGTAATACGCGAAGATAAGCTGACTTCAAGAGTACGTATAGTTCTTGATGCAAGTGCTCGCACATCTGGCCCTTTGTTAAATGAGTATTTATTTTCAGGACCATCTCTAACAACTTCATTATATAGTATACTTTTACGTTTTCGTACGAAGCGAATGGCTTTAATTGCTGACATTGAGAAAGCATTTTTAAACATTGCATTAACTGAAAAGCATTGAGACTTTGTAAGATTTATATGGTATAAAGATTTATTTGATTTAGACAATAATTTAAAAAATAGTGTATTAGTGTCGAGTATTGTTTGGCGCAACTTCTCCTTTCTTAATATCTGCAACTTTAATTAATCACGCTGAACGTTATGCTGTGAACGATTTTGATTTTAGCAAGAAATTAATTCAATCATTACATGTGGATAATTTAAATGCGAGTTTTGATTCTGTATCCGAAGGACTTGTGTGTTATATTAAAGCTAAATCATGTTTAAAAGAAGAAAAATTTTGTCTTAGAAAATTCGAGTCAAACTCAAAGGAACTATGCAGTTTAATTAAAGAGGACAATTCAACCCCAAGTAATATTACTAAAGTTTTTGGTTTAAAGTGGAATAAAACTTAAGATGATTTAATTTTTACCTTTCAGGATTTATTATATTTAGTGGACAATAAACCTACTAAAAGAAGTATTCTTAAATTCCTTGCAAGTTTTTATTATCCTTTAGGATTAGTGAATCCTATTATAGTAAGATGTAAAATATTATTTCAATCGATTTGTACGTTAAAGTTAGGGTGGAATTCGCTTATAGAGGAAGAGACCTTGATTGAATGGAACAATATTATTAATGATTTGAGTTCCGTACCTTTCATTTATGTTCCAAGATGGTATAATAAGAGTGTTAATAACATCCAACATAATAAATTTGAGTTATACGGCTTTTGCGATGCGAGTCTAAAAGCGTACGGGTGTTGCATTTACTTAAGAGGTAGCGCTGAGGGAGTTGCGAATTCTTGTCTAGTTACTTCTAAATCAAGGGTTTCTCCTAAGGGCAATGTTATTATAAGCTAATTTGTTTTCAGTTGTATATAAACAGTTATCGTGTGTTAAATATTTCTTGTGTTAAATTATTTTCTAATTATTTCCATTATTTGTCTTAATTGGGTAAACAATGTAAATAAAAAATATGAAGTCTTTGTTCAGAAGCGCCTTGAAAAAATTCGTTTATTGTATGATATTAAGTTTTAGGATTTTATTGAGTGAAAGAAATCTCCCGCGGACATTGTGTAACGAGGGGCAAAATGAGATACTTAAGGGCTAATACATCTAATACGGCCCGTCTAATAACTTTTGAAAAAATAAATTTATATTTTTCAATTCTTCTACGATCCTACTTGAAGCCTAAAAAGTATGAGTTGCAAAACTGCAGTAGTTTGGTCACCAGAGATCATTTATTGACAGCACCTATCCTGTCTCATTTTGCCCCGCATACCGGGGTAAAATGAGACAGATTTTTTTTTTAGTAATTTAAATAAATAAAGTTAAAAAAAAACAGATCTTTAAGAGGATTAGCAAGTAATACATTTTGAAATATATTACAGCTATAATCAAACTGTCACTAGTCACATAAATCACATATTGCTTGACCAGTATTTTGAAACGAACAACAGTCCGAATGAGCCCAGGTTGTGCATTTTGAAAATTGACTCCACTTATATATATATATATATATATATATATATATATATATATATATATATATATATATATATATATATATATATATATATATATATATATATATATATATATATATACATACATACATATAGATATATATATATCCTCTACAAGAACTAATAAAACCATACATGCATATATTATATATTAAACTTATGTATTTAGAGCACGCATAACATTCATTGTAATTTGTTTATAGGTACTGCAATAACCTATATGTTATAATCTACTCACTATATATTTTATATACTACTTACTTTGTTACATTACAATACAATAAGATTATAAAATACAAACATAGTAATTATAAACATCAGGCAATTATTTGCTTCAATTTGGTTAAATATTTATTATATTTAAATATAAGTTAATAAAATATAAAACGTAATTCTATATTAGATAAAAACTAAACATTTCAATTAACAAAATAAAAAGTAAGTAAATACAATATAATAAATTTAAATCTACAGCATGTAAATATTAATATTTGCTTTGGTTGTTGTTTTAATGTAAAAAATTAAATAAACATAATATTAGATATTGGCAAAAAAAAAAAAAAATACAAACAGAATGTCTCGTCTTGCCCCGCATCATGTTGACATCGAATAGCCTAATTTCCAGACTATTTTATTGAAGAAATAAAATACCAAAGAATGGAAATGAAAGAAAAAGGCCTAAAGATTCTAATTAAAAAAAAACTTTAAATATAAAAAGCTTTTCCACTCAGTGAGATCAAAAAAGGCTAGGAAAAAATATAATAACAACTCTTAAAAATTTGTAATTTTCGCAAAGCCGAGAGATGAAATGATTCCCCTTTTACTCAACTTTTTTATTTCAAAGTGACTCGATATATTTTTCATGACACAAAATAGTTTTTTAACACAACTACACTTTTAAAAATTTTGCAAATAATAATTTGTAGGGCTAGCATTATGTTAAACGCGAACTGTCTTGTATTGCCCCGCTGTCTCATTTTGCCCCGCGTTACATCTTGTGGATGTAAATTTAGTACCTTTCAAATAAACGACTTTTGGTTTAAAGGTCCTAGTTTTTTATTCAATAGTTTAATTTCCTGGCCTTCATTTGATTTAAGCAAACAAGGAGATTCTCAGTCTAAAGTTATAACTTTAATTACTTCAGAACATTCTTTAGTAAATTTAGATTTTATGAACATTAACAATTTTAAAACATGATCATCTTCTAAAGGTTACAGCTTTAGTTTTGCGTTTTATTAGTATAATTAAAAAAAAATCTAATAGTGATTTATCTACACTAACTACCTTTAAATTAAATAATGCAGAAATATTGTGGATTCATTCAAAATTCATTCAATAAATTCATTCAAAAAGATAAATAAAATAGTGAGTCTTATAATCAATTAAAACGAGATTTAGGTTTTTTTAGAGCCGATAATTCGTTGTCAAGGTCGCACCAATTCCGTTTAGTTCAAAATTTCCTATATACTTACCAAATAAAAGTTACTTAACCAATTTAATTATTTTACATTATCATTGTCTTACTAAACATAGTGGTATTAAAGAAACACTTAATGAATTAAGAACTAAGTTTTGGTAAATAAAAGCTCGCAATGTAATTAAAAACATAGTTAGAAATTGTTACACTTAAAGATTTGACAGTAAACCTTTTAAGTATCCTAATTCTCCTCCTCTACCCCTATCTAGAGTTAGTGATGAATATGCATTTAAATATGTGGGAGTAGATCTTTGCAGTCCAATCATGCTTAAGAATATTTATGAAACTAATGAGATGTATAAAGCGTGGATATTTGTTGCATTCATGTTGTAATACACGTTTTCTCTATTTAGATTTGGTTCCCGATTGTACAGCGGAAGCTTGCATTCGTGGTCTTCGTCGTTTTATAAGCCGCTTTGGCGCACCTTTTCAATTTATCAGCCATAATGGTTCAAATTTTTCTGCTGAAGAAAATCGAATCTTAATAAATTCAAGACGTATACGATGGTGTTTTAATGTTCCTGCTGCTCCTTGGTGGAGAGGGATATTCAAAACAATGATTCGAAATACCAAGAGAATACTTAAAAAGGTTCTAAAAACATCAAGAGTTAATGACGAAATGCAAACATTTTTGGCTGAAATTGAAGTTGATATAAACAACCGGCCGATTACGTTTCTGTACGAAGTACCCGGCGAGGAGCCTCTAACACCAAATCATCTCGTGTTTGGACAAAAACTACCATTAAAATCTGTGAATTTTATTAACATATAAACTGTTGATCAAAGCGATGATAAGAAGAAGTATTTGCACCAAAAAGCCATTTTGGATCATTATTGGCACACATGGAAAAATGAATACTTATTAAACTTACGAGAAATACACACAAATGTGACACACCAAAGTTGGGGGTTTGATATGAAAATTGGAGATGTTGTATTGGTAGACGATCCAAAAGTTCGACGTTCAGTTTGAAAAAAAGGCATTATCTAAATTATATTTAATTCAAGTGATAGTCAAGTACGTTCTGCTTTTTTTTTGTGTTTTTTACGACAAAACCCCTTTTTCTATATATTAACTTATCTAAAATTAAAAAAAAAGACAGTTGCGTCAAAAAAACAGGTTTTCACTGACTTCCTAAAAATTATTTTAATATATTTTTAGAGGTTCTGTAGAGTTATTAAAGAATTAAGTAAAAAAATAAACCTGGGTTAATCAGAGTAACCTTTGTTTTTATGACAAAACCCCTTTTTCTTATTTATATTATTAAATTAATGTATATATATATATATACTTATCCGAAATTAAGAAACAAGAAAATTGCGTCAAAAAAACAGGTTTCCACTGATTTCTTTTATAATCATTTTTAATATATTTTTGGGAAATCTGTAGGTTTATTAAAGAATAAGGTAAAATAAACCTGAGTGAATCCAAGGAACCTTAGTTTTTTTACGACAAAACCCCTTTTTCTATATACTAACATATCTAAAATTAAAAAATGAGATGATTGCATAAAAAAAAACAGGTTTCCACTGACTTCTTTTAAGATTTTTAAATATATTTTTAGAAAATCTGTGGGTTTACCTTATTAAAGAATAAGGTAAGATAAATCTGAGTGAATCCAAGGAACTTTTGTATTTTACGACAAAACCCCTTTTTCTATATATTAACTTATGTAAAAGTATAAAATAAGACAATTGCGTCAAAAAAACAGGTTTTTACTGATTTCTTTTGGGTTCTTTTGATATATTTTAAGAAATTCTGTACGTTTATTAAAGAATAACGTAAAATAAAGCTAAGTGAATCAAAGAAACCTATGTTTATTACGACAAAACCCATTTTTCTATATAATAACTTCTAAAATTATAAAAAAAGACAATTGCGTCAAAAAAACAGGTTTCCACTGATTTTTTTTTAAATCTTTTACTTTAGTTTAAATATTCTGTTGACTTAATAAGAAATATGTCAATAAGAAGAAAACAACCGAGCTAATTTTATGTTATTCAGATAAAGAATGCTGAAAATTCGATAAATTTTTTTACAAAAATAATTATTTCACAAAAAAACTTGACAAAGTTAGGTTTCCAATAATTTCTTTTCGAATCTTTTAATTAATTTTTATAGATTGTGTGGGTTTGTTAAAAAATAAGGTCAAACAAAACCTGAGTGAATCAAAGGAACCTAGTTCTTTTTGACCAAACCCCTTTTTCTATATAATAACTTATCTAAAATTAAAAAAAAAGACAATTGCGTCAAAAAAACAGGTTTCCACTGTTTTCTTTTGAAATCTTTTGATTTCTTTTTTAAGATTATGATGGTTTGTTAAAGAATAAGGTCTAATAAACCTAAGTGAATCAAAGGCACCTAAGTTTTTTACGACAAAACCCCTTTTTTTATATAATAAACTTTCTAAAATTAACAAATAAGACAATTGCGTCAAAATAACAGGTTTCCACTGCTTTCTTTTAGAATCTTTTGATTTAATTTTTAAGATTATGATGGTTTGTTAAAAAATAAGGTCAAATAAATCTGAGTGAATCAAAGGAACCGAAGTTTTTTACGACAAAACCCCTTTTTCTATGTAATAACTTATCTAAAATTAAAAAACAAGACAATTGCGTCAAAAAAAACAGGTTTCCATTGCTTTCTTTTGGAATCTTCTGGTTTCTTTTTTAGAATTATGATGGTTTCTTAAAGAAAAAGGTCAAATCAACCTAAGTAAATCAAAGGAACCTAAGTTTTTAACGACAAAACCCCTTTTTCTCTATAATAACTTTTCTAAAATTAAAAATAAGACAATTGCGTCAAAAAATCAGGTTTCCACTGCTATCTTTTGGAATCTTTTGATTTCTTTTTTGAGATTATGTTAATTTAATAAGGAATAAGTTAATATAATTTTTTTTTAGAAATAATCTGAAATTGAAAATAAGACAATAGCGTCAAAAAAACAGGTTTTCACTAATTTTATTTTATCTTTTATTATATAATTAAAGATTTTGTTGGTTTGATAAAAAATATTGTAAAATAAACTTGAGTGAATCAAAGGAACGTAAATTTTTAACGATAAAACACCTTTTTTATAGAATACTTTTTTTAAAATTAAATAGCAAGACAATTGCGTCAAATAAACAGGTTTCTAGTAATTTCTTTTAGAATATTTCGATATTTTATAGAGATTCTGCGCGTTTTTTAAAAAATAAGGTCAAACAAACCTGAGTAAATCAAAGGAACCTAAATTTTTTACAACAAGCCCCTTTATTTATATAATAAATAAAGGGGTTTTAAATTTATATCAAAGAAATCTAATGTTTTCAGGACAAAACCTTTCTTTGTCTATAATAACTTTTGTAAAATTAATAAAACAAGACAATAGCGTCAAAAAAACGAATTTTCACTAATTTCTTCTGGAATATTTTTAAATCTTTTTGGAAATTCTTTGGGTTTGTTAAAGAAAAAAGTCAAATAAACCTAAGTGAATAAAAGGAACCTAATTTTTTTACGACAAAACCCCTTTTTTTATATAACAACTTATCTAAAATTAAAAAATAAGACAATTGCGTCAAAAAAACAGGTTTCTACTGATTTCTTTTGGAATCTTTTGATATACATTTTTAAAACTTCTGTGGGTTTGTTAAATAATAAAGTCAAACAAACCTGAGTAAATCAAAGGAACCTAAATTTTTTACGACAAACCCCTTTATTTATATAATAATTTATCTAAAATTAAGAAATAAGACAATTTCGTCAAAAAAGCAGTTTTCTACTGATTTCTTTTGGAATCTTTTGGTATATTTTCAAAGATTCTGTTGATTTAGTAAAACATAAGTCAATAAAAAAAAAACAATCGAGCTTATTTTATGCTTTTTAATAAAAGAGTGTTAAAAAATCAATAAATTTGTGAACAAAAATCATTATTTCGCTAAAAAACTTTAAAGAAACAGGTTTCTGCTGATTTATTTTAAAATCTTTTTATATATGTTTGGAGAATGTGTGGAGTTGTTGAAGAATAAGGTCAAATAAACCTGAGTGAATTAAAGGAACATTCGTTTTTTACGATAAAACCCCTTTTTGTTTATAATAACTTGTCTAATATAAAAAATAAGACAATAGATTCGAAAAAACAGGTTTCCACTCATTAATTTTGGAATCTTTTAATATATTTTTATATATTCTGTTGGTTTGTTAAAGAATATGGTCAAATTAACCGAAGTGAATTAAAGGAACCTAAGATTTTTACAACAAAACCTCTTTTTAATACTATAACTTATCTAAAATTAAAAAGTAAAACAATTGCGTCAAATAAACAGGTTTAAACTGATATATTTTTAAACCTCTTAATATAGATTTAGAGATTCTGTTGGTTTGTTAAAGATTATGATCAAATAAACCTTTGTAAATCAAAAGAAACTAATTTTTTTACGACGGAACCCTTTTTTTCTATATAATAACTTACATAAATTTGAAAAATACGTCAATTTTATCAAAAACGCAAGTTTTCACTGATTTCTTTTGGAATCTTTTGATATATTTTAAGAGATTTTGTGGATTTGTTAAAAAACAAAGTCAAATAAACCTAAGTGAATCAATAGAACCAAAGTTTATTCCGACAAAACCCCTTTTTATATATAATAATTTATCTAAAATTAAAAAATAAGACAATTGCGTCAAAAAAATAGGTTTCCACTGATTTCTTTTGCAATCTTTTGATATATATTTTTAAATATTCTGCAGGTTTCTTAAAAAATAAGGTCAAACAAACCTGAGTCAATCAAAGAAACCCGAGAATTTTACGACAAAAGCCCTTTTTTTGAATATAACAATTCGTCTAAAATTCAAAAATAGGACATTTGTGTAAAAAACGCAAGTTTCCACTGATTTCTTTTGAAATCTTTTGATATATTTTTAGAGATTCTGTGGGTTTGTTAAGGAGTAAGGTCAAGAAACCTGAGTGAGTGAAGAAAACCTACTTTTTTTACGAATAAAAACCATTTTTCTTTATAATAACTTGTCTAAAATTAAAAATAAGACAATTGCGTCAAAAAAACAGATTTCCATTGATTTCTTTTAGAATCTTTTGATATATTTTTTAAGAATCTGTTAATTTAATAAAGAATAACTCCATAAAAAGAAAAATAACAGAGCTAATTTTATGTTTTTCAGTAAACGAGTTTTAAAAACTTAATAAATATGTTGACGCATCTCTTTTTCTTTATATAACTTATCAAAAATTAAAAGTAAGATAATAGCGTCAAAAAAACTGGTTACCTCTAATTTATTTTGATATTTATTAATATATATATATAGAGATTCTGTTGGTTTGTTAAAGGATATGAACTACTAAACTTAAGTAAAACAAAAGGAACCTCTATTTTCAACGGCAAAACCCCTTTCCAATACAATAACTTTTCAAAAATTAAAAAATATGACAATTGCGTCAAATCAACATAGTTCCACTAATTTCGTTTGGAATCTATTGATACATTTTTAGATATTCTCTGCGTATGTTAAAGAATAAGGTCAAAGAAACCTGAGTAAATCAAAAGAAGCTATAATTTTAACGACAAAACCCCGTTTTCTCTAAAAAAAATATAAAATAAAATAAATTTATTTTTTTACGATAAACGTTTTTTCACTAAAAAACGTTAAAAAACAGCTTTCCACTGATTTCTTTCGGAATCTTTTTATATATTTTTAGAGATTCCGTAGATAATAAATAATAAGGTGACATAAACCTATATTATTCAAAGAAACCTATCTTTTTGAAGACAAAACCC